GGATACCAGAGACAATGTGGGAGGAGTGTTGGACAGGGCAGAGGGTGAGGGATAGGGAATCAAGGATGGCAAAAAAAGAAAAAAGCAAAATATACAAGACATAAGAAATGGAAAATTATTCGTTGATAACATGTATGTCGATGTGCTTGATTGAGCCAATATACAGTGTATTTTGGATGGAAAATTCATTTTGTATGCTGTAATGTATAGTGAGTTAATGTAAAAAAATTTTTTTAAAGGAAAAAAACTCAAAAAGCCCCCCAAAAAAACAAAAAACAAAGACTAGAAGCCTTGAGTTGGGATAGATAGTCAGGTCCAAGCTTCTTCCTTTTACGGGGGTGGGGGTGGGGCAGGTGTTGGTACAGAATGTTGATAGAAAGCTTGAAATTCTTGCATATGGTCATAGTGGAAAGTGCATCTTTGGTTTTGTGTCTTTATCACTTCTAGTTTAGACTTTTGACTCAGAACAATATACATAGATATTTTTTGAGAGGTGTTTGCTATAGGGTGCATACACTTGCCAGAAAGACAGAGAGACAGAAAGCGAGAAATCCCCTCCTAGGGGGGATGGCCATGCCACAATCCCTTCTCTTCCATTTTCTTCTCGGGATCTTGGGCACACACGCACACACCCCTGGCGAGTTTAAGCCACTGGGTCCAGGACTGGACCCACGGTCGACTATGTGGGAGTTCAGCGACATAGCCATTACACCAACTGCTGGTCCCGACTTGGAACAATATTGATTAATGGTTTGTCCTGGTTTCTGATTCCTTAAGGGAATTCCGAGGTCATTGCTACAACACCATCATTAAGATGTTCAAATTTCTTCATCTACTACTCTCTTGCATTTCAAACCTAATCAGCATTTCATTCTCTTATTATAGGATTTGATATAGCCAGTGCTCTCTTTTACATAAGAAGCTCTAGATTTGCACAGCACTATAGGAATTAGAATTACCTGACTTGATGGGGCCGGCAAGTGGCGTGGTGGTTAAAGGTGCTGGATTCCCACATGGCTGACTGTGGTTCGGGTCCTGGACCTGGTGGCTTGCTTTCATGCTTTCCCTTTCTCTCTCTCTCTCTGCCTCTGTCTGATCAAATGAAATAATAATAACAAATGGAAATAAATAAATAATTCTTTAAAAAAAAAAAGAATTACCTGACTTTAGTCTCTGGTTCAGCCTGCTGCTCCAGCCTGCTAAATCAGGAGTTTACTACTAGCTTGGACTGATTTTATAGTAATTATTAACTACCAACTACTAACCTTATTGGAAACAAGTTTCAACTAGTTTTCCCTGAACACATTTTGAAATTCACTGCTTCACCTAACCTATCTATATTGCTAATATGGGTTGATAAAGATGAATTAATTATATATTCCTTCACTAAGATTACGTGAAGAACAAGGATGAAATAGTTCTGTATTCCTAATTTGCAACAGGCAGCCAAACCAAGCAGAAGACAAAAACCGTTAGCAAATGAGTGCATTTCCTCATTTCCAAGATATTTAAGCACAGAAGCAAATACAGGAACAGGATCCATTCTTTTTCTCAGTGAAGAAGCATCTTTGGTGTGTGTGATTTAAAAGAAAGAAGATTCCGGTTTCCTAGGAAACAATATTTAGCCTGTGTTGGATTCATATTCTGAATGTTTGTTTACATAATGTACAGTATCTATTCAGAAACTATTGTTGCTTCAACATTTACTTTTTCAAAAAATTATTATTTATTTAATTTTATTTATTCATTCATTTATTTTAATTTGACCAGAGAGAGAGAGAGACAGAGAGAGAGAGAGAGGGAAAGGGAAAAAGAAGCCGCCAGGTCCGGGACCTGAACCGTGGTCGGCCATGTGGGAGTGTCCAGTATCTTAACCACAATGCCACCTGCTGGTCCCCTCAACATTTACTTTCTATACTGCAGTGCTTTGGGATTTCCACAGTACACCTTCCTCCCCAACAGACGTACAGTGCTCCATCTCAGCGCTCCATCTCCCATGCAATAGGAGTGTGTTGTCTGGTGAATGGAGCATTCAGAGACTTCATATTTGAAGAAGGGATACTCTGTATTTTACATTTTATTGCAGGTACTGATATTTATACTGATAAACTGTATGATGCTGCTGCATGTGTTCAAGTACATGTTGAACAGTAACGATTGGGGAGGATTTTTTTTGATAATCATCTAAAGCAGCTGCTGTAGAAACATCATACTAAAATTCTACATTTCCACACACCTGCATAAATTTCTCATTGACAAATTTTGTCTATCATATCATTGTTTCAAAATAAATACTTTTAAGCTCTAAAGATCATGCGGCAAGAGCAAATTAAAGTCAAGTTTGCATCACAGCCCATTTTCAAACTTCACTGGAATGCTTTACTTATGTTTGATAATGCAGGCTCACTCTCAGCTTTATTTTGAGATGCTTAACTGTTGGGGCAGTGAAGTCTAACTTCAGGGGGAACTTCTCATGCTTACTCTCAGGCTAAATGTAAATATTTGTAAAGTTTGACTAAAATTCTGTTTACTCAGGAAAAAAAAATGTCAAGGTATGGGTGGGAGGAAGGCGTGAGCAGCAGGAGGTGGAGGTAGATATTATGGGACTTCTCAAGTCTCCACCACAGATGGCTACATGTCTTTTCATAAGTCTGCCATTGTATATGTATCTATAATTTCAGACCCTTCTTTTTCACTTCATGTTACTATCTTAAGGACTTTTCCATATTGCTGTGTAGTCTTCTAAGCCATCACTAATGGATACAAATATTATACTAGTTACTAAGTCATTCTTGTATTTATATGCATTTCGATTTTACTGAGTTTGTGGGGCCAGCAGGTGGTGTGGTAGTTAAGGTGCTAGACTCCCAAATGGCCAACTGTGGTTCGAGTCCGAGACCTGGCAACTTGCTTTCTCACTTTCCCTTTCTTTCTCTCTCTGGTCAAATTAAAAAACAATAAAAAAAAAATAATAATAGGGGCCAGCAAGTGGCCTGGTGATTGAGGGTGCCAGAATCCCACATGGGCAACTGCAGTTCAAGTCCTGGATCTGGCGGCTTGTTTTCTCACTTTCTCTCTCTTTCTCTGTCCCTCTCTGGTCAAATAAAAATAAATAAATAAATAAAGTTAAATAAAATATTTTTAAAAAAAGTAATAACATTTAAATTTTTTAAATTGAGTTTAAATAGTGTTGTGAGTCTATCCTTTGTGCATCAAACTTTTTCTTCCTTTAGGGAACAAGCAGTGTAATGGCTATGTCGCTGGACTCCCACGTAGTGGACCGCAGTTCGCGTCCCGGACCCGGTGGCTTAAAACTCACGCTGGGCGCGTGTGCATGCGTGCCCAAGATCCCGAGAGGAGAATGGAGGAGAAGGGATTGCGGCATGGCCATCCCCCCTGGGGGGTGATTTCTCGCTTTCTGTCTCTCTGTCTCTGTCTGTCTGGCGAGTGCATGCGCCCTATAGTGAAAAACCTCTCCAAAAATAAAAATAAATAAATAAACAGAACCTTTTTTTTCCTTTAGAGCTTTCTTTTAAAAGTCAAATAATAGGAATACTTAAAGTCATCTTTTCTTTTCTTTTAAAAATATTTATTTAAATTTATTATTATCATTTTTAAATAATTATATGATTTAACTTAATTAAAAAAATTATTTTATTTGACCAGAGGGGGGCAGAGTGATGGGGTTGGGGGTAGTGAGAAAGCAAACCACTTGGTCTGGGACTCAAACCATGGTTGGCCATGTGGGAGTCCAGCACCCTTAACCACCATACCACCTGCCGTCTACTGGTCCCAAGATTGTGATTATTAAGAAAGGGTCAGATAGTAGTTATTGACCCATTCTCAGAAAGAATATCTTATAGCCATAAAACCTAGTGTGGGGTGGTTTTATTGTTACCACCTTCTTCTTTTTTAAAAATAATTATTTAATTTTCTGTTTATTCGTTCATTTATTTTAATTTGACCAGAGAGAGACAGAGAAAGTGAGAAAGCAAGCCACCGGGTCTGGGATTCGTGCGGTCAGCCATGTGGGAGTGCCCAGTGCCTTAACTACCATACCACCTGCTGGTCCCAATTATTGCCCTCTTCTTCTGTCTCCTCCCACCAAAGTTTATGTGTGTGTATCTTTCCCTCCAGCCATATATATATATATATATGTGTGTGTGTGTCCTAGGGGTAATGGCCACACTACAATCCCTTCTTTCCTCCATTCTCCTCTTGGGATTTTGGGCATGCATGCACAAGCACCCAGCTTGATTTTCAAGCCGCTGGGTCTGGGGCTCAGACTTCAGGTGACCAACCATGTGGCAGTCCAGTTCCTTAACTACCATGCTGCCTGCTAACCCCATTTGTATATTTTAAAATTATTTTTACTTTTTTGATTGTTGAAGGGTACACACACTTTCCAGCAAGTGAGAGAGGGACAAAGGGAGGGAGAAGGCAATCCCCCAATGGGCGTGTATGCACATGTGTCTAGCAGTTTTTTCAACCCACCAGAGCTGGTATATGAACTACTGTTAGCCATGTGGGATCTGGCTCCCTTAATCACTAGACTGTAGGGCCAGCTTCAAAGTTTTTATTTTTTTTTGGAGAGGTTTTTGTTATAGGGCATGTGTGCTCGCCAGACAGACAGAGACAGAGAGATAGAAAGTGAGAAATCACCTCCCAGGGGGGATGGCCACGCCGCAATCCCTTCTCCTCCATTCTCCTCTCGGGATCTTGGGCACGCACGCACACGCGTCCGGCATGTTTAAACCACCGGGTCTGGGACTCGAACCGCGGTCGACTACGTGGGAGTCCAGCGACATAGCCATTACGCTAACTGCTGGTCCCCAAAGTTTGTATTTTGATCATTGCTTTTAAAAGATGCTCTTTACCATTTGTTTATTCATGGCCACATTTACCTTTTGTTTATTCATGGCCACATTTACCTTTCTTTGTTTCTCCTTTTTCTTTGTTTTTCCTTTTTCTTTGGAGAGTTTTTGTCATTGCAATGCCTACTCTTTACCCTTCCCTCTATATGCATGCATTTGTTTATTCATGGCCACATTTACCTTTCTTTGTTTCTCCTTTTTCTTTGGAGAGTTTTTGTCATTGCAATGCCTAGCCTGTCTTCCTTGTTCAGAAATGGGACTGGTCTTTGTTAAAATGTCCTCCCACCCCCACTGCTGTGGGGCCAACTCTGGTAGGTGTTCATCCAGGTTTTGTGGGGTGATAAGATGCAAAAGGAAAGTGAGTGGTGACAAGGCTTCAGGAATCCATGGGGCCTGGGCTAGGATGGATGAGGCGGCTGCTGGAGATGTGAAGGGAGGGTCACAGGGCAAAGCACGTGACTGGATTTGAGGGGCTGGGAGGGTTCAGCCTTCTGTGGCCCCTCTGTCTGGGGCTGTCTCCCTTCTGTCTCCCCTGCAATGGTGCAGCTGACCATCGTGGAGGGGGTGGAGAGTTTGGGGAGATGGGGTGATGTAGGAGAGACTGCCTAAAAATGTGGGCACCTAGGAAATGTGGCTCTCTGCCTGTCCCCTTTAGCACCCAGACACCCAAGAACACCAGGCAGGGGCTGGGCTGAGGGGCTTGTGGTTAAGGGGATCATGTTCTTATCTCTCTCTTTGAAGCCCTGAACATGGAAATGTTCATCAAGGCCATGAAGAAGATTCTAAGGAATGCTTCGAATCAGATGCTGGAGTCCCTGTTTTTGAAGGTGGACTCAGATTGCAATGGCTTCGTCACCTGGGTGAGGAAGGTACCCCTGCTGCATTAAGTAGTTAGAGGAAGGCTGGAGGGCACTGTCCTTGAACCCTTGGTGAAGCAAATGGAGTGTTGAAGCTATGAAGGCAGCCAGAGCATCAGAAAGACTTCCTGTAGATTCTGGCTCCAGCTGGGTACTGGCCCTGAGTATCTTTGAGAGGTTCTTCCAGAGACATTTGCAAGCAAGGCTCCTAACAGCTCATTCCCCTCCTGGGGGACTGGAGAGAGTGTGACAAGTGTCATTGGCCTCTATGCGAGACTAAGGAGCATGCCACTGTGAACAGCAAGGGCCTTCCCACCTACCATGTGGTTCTCCTGTACACCAGACTCCTGTCCTCCTTAATGGATTCAAGCTGGTGTCATGGCCATCTCTTGGCCCTTTCTGGTCACTCAGGACCAGGCAAACCTGTGGCTGTTAAACCTCAAAATGCCGGGTTTTATAGCTTAGTAATAATAATGCTTTTGAGATTTTTTTCCTATTCAAAGTGTTCTACAATGAGCATATATAGCATTTAAGCATACAGAAAAGTACAAAAAATAGACATAATAGTCTGATATAGTAATGATGACATGATAACTAGCTTTCACACCAGGATAAGCACTTTGTGTGTGTTTTTTACCTGAACATCTAGGAATCCTATGGGGAAGGTGCTCTTATTTACTTCCATTTGACAGGTTGGGGCACTGAAGCATAGAGGAGTTAAGAAAGTTGCCCAGAAATGCAGCTAGCTGGCAGCTGAGCTGCTATTTGAACCCAAGGGGCCTGCCTCGAGTCCATGCATCCACTGTTATATCATACTTTCCTCTTGGTTTAGATATACATTCTGGGACTTACTTATTTTTTGCTTTTATTTCTCTTAACATTCTATAGAAAACGTATTTCTAGCCTTCTCTCATCTATGCAATGATCCTTCTTAAGAACTCCATTTTTTGTTATAGCCTCATATGATGGCTCAATTGACTTTGACTATATATATATATATAT